GGCAATTCCGGCCATGTTCCGGTGTTCCCGGGAAAGTGGCCAAATCCAAATTAGGATTAAAACTTATCGTGCGACATATCAAACTTCATGATTTTTCAAAACTTGATCAATGGCCATCTTATTGATGGCCTATGACAATATTGTATTGGCAATTTCGGCCATGTTCCGGTGTTCCCGGGAAAGTGGCCAAATCCAAATTAGGATTAAAGTTTATCGTGCGACATATCAAACTTCACGATTTTTTAAAACTTGATCAATGATCGTCTTATTGATGGCCTATCATCACATTGGCAATTCCGGATGTGGTTCGATCCCCCCGGGGAAGTGTCCAATTCCTCAATAGGATTAAAACCAATCGTACGACATATCAAACTACATGGTTTTTCAAAACATGATCAATGGTCGTTTTATTGACCACATTGGCAATTCCGGTCATGTTACGGTGTCCCCGGGAAAGTAGCCAATTCCAAATCAGGATTAAAACTTATTGTGTGACACATCAAACTTCATGGTTTTTCAAAACTTGATCAACGGTCATCTTATTGATGGTCTATGACCACATTGGCAATTCCGGCCATATTCCGGTGCTCCCGGGAGAGTGGCCAATTCCAAATTAGCATTAAAACTTATCATGCGACATATTAAACTTCATGATTTTTCAAAACTTGATCAATGGTCGTCTCATTGATGGCCTATGACCACATTGGCAATTCCGGATGTGCTTCGAAACCCCCGGGGATGTGGTCAATTCCAGACTATGTCTAAAAACCTATCGTGCGACATATCAAACTTTATGGTATTTCGAAACTTGATCAATGGCCATCTAATTGGCAATTCCGGACATGTTCCGATCCCCCCGGGGAAGTGGCCAATTCCAAATTAGGATTAAAACTAATCATGCGACATATCAAACTTCATGGTTTTTCAAAACTTGATCAATGGTCGTATTATTGATGGTCTATGACCACATTGGCAATTCCGGCCATCTTCCGGTGTTCCCGGGAAAGTGGCCAAATCCAAATTAGGATCAAAACTTGATCAATGGTCATCTTATTGATGGCCTATGACAATATTGGATTGGCAATTCCAGCCATGTTCCGGTGTTCCCGGGGAAGTGGCCAATTCCAAAATAGGATTAAAACCAATCGTGGGACATATCAAACTTCATGGTTTTTCAAAACATGATCAATGGTCATCTGATTGATGGCCTAGCATCACATTGGCAATTCCGGATATGCTTCGATCCCCCGGGAAGTGGCCAATTCCAAATAAGGATTAAAACCAATCGTGCGACATATCAAACTTCATGGTTTTTCAAAACTTGATAATTTATTCAGTCGTTTTATTGACCACATTGGCGGTGTCCCCGGGAAAGTAGCCAATTCCAAATTATGATTAAAACTTATTTTGTGGCATATCAAACATTATGGTTCTTCAAAACTTGATCAACGGTCATCTTATTGATGGCCTATCATCATATTGGAAATTCCGGTCATGTTCCGATCCCCCCGGGGAAGTGGTCAATTCCAGATTAGAACGAAAACCAGGGTGACCACTGAATTTTTGATTTTCAATTCCCAATGTTTTCCCGGTTGAACATGATATTCTTCCCGGTTTGATAAAAACAGCTAGATTTGATGAAAAATAACTAACCTGAATTTTCAAAATCCTACTCCTAAGATTCTGAATTTTCAATGTTTTCATTATTAGGAAAATTGGTATATTTCAACCTATTATTTTTTAACAATCCTGGGCGTATAAAATTCAAGATTTCGCATCAACAGAAAATTGTCAAGATTCAGACGATAGAAATTTATTCCAGACTGTGGAATTCGAAACATTTGCAAGATTCTAGAGTTTGGAAAAGTTTTCTCGATTTTATACTTGAATCATTTTTAAAATGTTGGAACTGGATTTGGATTCCTTTTCCAAGATCTCGATTATCATGGACTAAGGCAAATTTTTGAGGTCTTCAATCCTCATGACTTGAATTGCTGATCCTGGATTTAGAAACAATTGTAAAATTCCAAAAGAAGATAAATGAGTTTGGATTTCACAAAATTTTCAGAATTCTGGGACTTAGCAGATCTGCCGCTCATCGCAAGTCGGTCCCATTTGCGTTTTTGTCAATACGGAGATTTTCAATGAAAATCGCAGCTCATCTCCCATATTTTCATACGCTGGATGAACTCAACAACTTTGGTCCGGAAAAGTTTGGATTAACAGCAGAACGGGTTGTCCCATTACATAAGAAGCAATGGGGCGTAGCAAACTTGAAACGCGTTTTTCTCGGCTTGTTGATTTGTGCTATGGGACGAACTTGCCATGAGCGGCAGAGATTGTGATCTTCGAAAAATGAGGAAGATCCAATTCCAATTTCGATATCAAGATCATAACACCAGAACAATTTGGACAATATTAAAAACGGTATTTTCATTGAGCCTATAGAACTTCAAGATCTGAACTCCAGAATAGTATGGAAAGTATTTTAAACGTTATTGATACCATTCCATGATGTGCATGAAGTCAAGAGGCTTTCTTGACCTTCCCGGACTCATAAAGATTTCAGGACATTGTTCAAGACTTTCATTGAGCCTGTAGAATTTCAGGATCTGAGCTCCAGAATACTCTGGAGAGCAATGATACCGTTCCACGTTATCAAGCGGCTCTCTTGGGGCTTCATGGACTCACCAAGATTTTCAGGACATTGTCCAAAGACTTTCATTGAGCCTGTAGAACTTCAAGATCTTAGCTCCAGAATACTCTGGAAAGCAATGGTACCGTTCCACGTTATCAAGCGGCTCTCTTGGGGCTTCATGAACTCACCAAGATTTTCATGACATTGTCCAAGGACTTTCAGTGAGCCTGCAGAACTTCAGGATCTGAGCTACAGAATACTCTGGAAAGCAATGGTACCGTTCCACGTTATCAAGCGGCTCTCTTGGGGCTTCATGGACTTACCAAGATTTTCAGGACATTGTTCAAGACTTTCATTGAGCCTGTAGAACTTCAAGATCTGAACTCCAGAATAGTATGGAAAGTATTTTAAACGTTATTGATACCATTCCATGATGTGCATGTAGTCAATAGGCTTTCTTGAGCTTCCCGGACTCATAAATATTTCAGGACATTGTTTAAGACTTTCATTGAGCCTGTAGAATTTCAGGATCTGAACTCTAGAATACTCTGGACAGCAATAATACTGTTCCACGTTATCAAGCGGCTCTCTTGGGGCTTCATGGACTCACCAAGATTTTCAGGACATTGTCCAAAGACTTTCATTGAGCCTGTAGAACTTCAAGATCTTAGCTCCAGAATAGTTTGGAGAGCATTAAATATCTTATTCGATTATGTCAATTTTCTCAAAACGCTCTCTTGAGCTTGCCTGGCATTGTTCAAGACTGTAAAACTTCAAGATCATAACACCAGAATAATTTGGACAATATTGAAAACCGTATTTTCATTGAGCCTCCCGGACTCATAAATATTTCAGGACATTGTTTAAGACTTTCATTGAGCCTGTAGAACTTCAGGATCTGAACTCCAGAATACTGTGGAAAGCAATGATACCGTTCCACGTTATCATGCGACTCTCTTGGGCTTCATGGACTCACTAAGATTTTCGGGACATTGTACAAAGACTTTGATTGAGCCTGTAGAACTTCAATATCTTAGCTCCAGAATAGTTTGGAGAGCATTAAATATCTTTTTCGATGATGTCCATTTTCCCAAAAGGCTCTCTTGAGCTTGCTTGGCATTGTTCAAGACTGTAAAACTTCAAGATCATAACACCAGAATAATTTGGCCAATATTAAAAACCGTATTTTCATTGAGCCTGCAGAACTTCAAGATCTGAACTCCAGAATAGTATGGAAAGTATTTAAAACGTTCTTGATACCATTCCATGATGTGCATGTAGTCAAGAGGCTTTCTTGAGCTTCCCGGACTCACAAAAATTTCAGGACATTGTTCAAGACTTCATTGAGCCTGTAGAACTTCAAGATCACGATTTTCGAAAGAACTGTTCATCATTCGGTATTCTCTGTATTCCGCCGGTATATTCTGGGGCATAAAATTTCTGATCACGCCTTCCTTCGGGAAGGGAAGTAAAGCCGTTGGTCCCCGGTTCATGAGTTGATGGATCGATAGGTAGGGTCCAGATGCGGGAGCTACCTACATGGCGTCGGTAGCATTGGTACTCAGTACGGAAGACACCTGTCCTTTAAACCTTTTGGCCCTTTCAACCTTTTGTCTTTGAACCTTTTGACTTTTCAACTTTCTGTCTTTCGACCTTTTTTCCCTAAACCTAAATAAACAACTTGCCATGGCTACTCTGTAGCAGGTTCTGGATACCCCGGGGGAAATGGCCAATTTGGAAAATAGCCGGAACCATGTCAATATGGGGTGTCAAACTTTAAGATTTTACAAGCCAATGCCAATGGTAGTTTTTTTCATGACCACAGCTTCCAAATTGACCACTTCCCCGGGGCACTCAGAACCTGCTCCAAAGTAACCGGGGTAAACTGTGAACCTGAAAAAGCTACCATTACCATTGCCTTGCAAAATCTTGAAGTTTGACACCCATATTGATATGGTTCCGGTCATGTTCCACATTGACTATCTCCCCCGGGGAACGCAGAACCTGCTCTAGGATGGACATAGCAACTTGTGACGCTGAATACGCCCGAAGATGTAGTGGCCAGTTTCTAACTTGTGTCAAAACCCATCATGCAATACCTTAAATCACATGAGAGCTCAAAAAAGAAGATCAATGGTAGACATTTATAATGCTCTGGATCACGCTGGTCACATCCAACCATGTTCCGGGTATCCCAGGGGAAGTGGTCAATTTCTGACTTGGATCAAAATCCATCATGCGATACCTTAAATCACACGAGAATTCAAAAAGAAGATCGAGTTTTTCGAATCGTCATTTGACGTGGAACGAATCCGCGTGGAAGCGTGACGAACTTAATATCGCCCAATAAAAGCATTTTCTCAAAAAGACTTCCTGAAAAGGTTTTGACGTGTAGGACTACGTCTTTATCGAAGGTAAGGGGAGTCATTTCATCGAAGCAGCGTCACGAAGTCATGTAAGGGTTTAAACGCATGCAACTTGGCCACTGATGGACGGATTTACATTTCCAAGTAACAATTTTGGATTTATGAGGGTTCTGTAGTCCATGATTTAGGCTTGTAGAATGCTACAAAACCTTTATAAAGCTTGCAATGTAACTTGGGTTATTACCATGTGAATCAGATTTGATTGGTATTGAAACTGTAACTGGTTATTGCCCAAATGGCATGCTTGCGGATCCCTAACACGGACTTCAATTTCAGATACCAAAACCCCACAACTAATACAAATTCAAGCAGAAAACAGTTGTCCAATTTTCCACCAAAACCAAATGGGTGGAGCCCCAACCTTGATGACAAAACTGCCGCATACAAAGTAGATCAGCCTTGCGGACGGATTTCAATTTAAAGTTCAGCCACGAATCATATTCCTCAGAAACGATCGATCTTATTTGCTACCGGAATTTCAACCATCTAAATCTTATAATAAGTTTAACTAAATCACTCACCTTACTCCAACTCTACGTGTAAATAATCAACTACAGCTAGGTTTAATGCCAAAATAGCAGGCAGCCGGTGTGTTAGTGCGTGTGAGAATGCGTTCGTATAAAAAGTATCACACACAGACAGAGAAACCTACTTACTGCTCTTGTATAAGTGTTCATATTTAACGAAAACCAACCACCAAAGACTTTCTCTACTCTACTGGGAAGAGGTTAGCTTATTTTCAAATGTCTCACACGTGTTAAGGCTAATCTAGTGGTGGTAACCAATACTGTTCCTCAGCTCTTAAGGCGCTATTCATTAAAACTTATCGGACAGGCTCAATTGGCTGATTTTGTGGACTGGTTCCACTTTAGAATGTCGTTTTCTCCATTTGTTTATGTTTTTTTATTATTTTCCAGATGAACGAACATGGTATATGGCCTATACTGCTATCAAATCTCTATCTTAACTATTGAAAATTTTTACAAACTATACAAATGAAATATCCTACCCAGACAACCGGAATGCCTGTATATCAAAGGAGTTTCTGTCATGTACGAACAAATGTACCGTCAAGCAAGTCGTATATAATGCATTAGGCTTAAACATACAAAAGAATACTAGTTTATCTGTAATAACAAATTCCATTTGTCAAGATTTACTGTGTAATCAGATTTAATTTGTACTAATAAACGATACCAAAATTACTATTACTATACGTCTATACGTCAGAAATTTGCATTGCGTACGATTGCACTAAAACTAAACTTAATACGATTTAGACTGAATTTGTAATTTCCGAAATTGAATATTTGTGCATTGTAAATGGCTATCCACACTAGATCCGCGTTGCGTTGCGTTGACATAAATTTGACAGTTAGACAATTGATTCACCTTCCAAGTAACAATTTTGGTTTTATGAGGGTTCTGTAGGCCATGATTTAGACTTGTAGAATGCTATAAAACCACGATAAAACCAGCAATGTTACTTGGGCTAATACTTTGCCGCAACGCGTCAGATCCGGCTCTAGTGCGGGTGGCCCTAAAGTCTTCTTCTGGTTGTCTGGGCTATCTGGCCATCCTAACATATGAAAATTGACACAAATTCGTCTCTTTATAAACAGAAAACAAAAGTATGAGCTAAACCTACAGAACTTAAATAAAAACTGAAAAAAAAACCAAATGGCCGCGAATGGGACTAAGCTCTCTAGCCACTCTAGTATCGTTTTTGAGCGTTCTTGTCTCTCTTTCTCTCTATCTCCCTCAGGCACACACTGTCTTCTGTCTGTTCTGTTTCTCTCAAATCAGTCCAATATCTCGAAGTGCGCCATCTACCGTCTCGTCCTGCAGTGTAATACAATATAATAACAATAATAGTGCAAAATAGAGTTCAAATCAAAACAACAACTCGGATGGGTGGGTGGTGTGTAGCTAAAGATGCAAAGAGGGAAAGGGGGTGTTGTGTGTAAATCTATGCAAAATGTCAACTCCAAGCCGAATGTGTACGTTTAGTATTTACATCAATGGAATGTAGTGGTGTCCCCGCTCAGCTGAGTGGACATCGGAAAACTATTTACAACACTGTGATTTGGTGGTTGCCATCTTGGCGATGCATGTTTATGTGTGCTTAAGTATGTACATCCGGTAGATTGGCGGTGGAAAATATCAACAAACTGGATCCGGACTAAGGCGATTATGACTGGTCAACCAATCGAGATGCACGCATTGGATAAATGAACAGCAACTGAACAACAGTTCGACGGTATTAAAGCAAATCTGACTTGACAACTGTCAATGAAAATGATGTAAATGGCAACACTGATTAATGGAAAATATCGACATCCACGATGGACACCAACTGCCAGTTCTTGAAAGCATCCTGAAAAATGATAGATATACCTTCGAAGATGCGTCACACATACCAACACGGTCAGGCCTACTGTGCAGTATTTAAGGGGCAAGATGATTCAAAAAACACCAGGCCTGTTTAAATCGAATAAAAACAAAACATAGGCAAAATAGAGTGTAGACAAATGTGACAAATCGACTGCACGGCTTAGATGCATACACTCAATATTCAGCAAAGAATATTTAAAAATCGATGAAAGATACGGATTATCTAATCATGGATTACCTCAAATGAAGGAAAAAATTAATATATTTTAATTAAAAACGAATCTCTTGTACATGGCCGATGAGACGAGCTCAGAGAGAAAGAGATTCGCTTTTACTCAGTTGTAAGAGAAATTTCTAAAAACGCATGTTACTCAGCGCTGTGCGACCTGTGCTTCATATAACTGAGTAAAAGTGATTCTCTCTCTCTGTCTGAGTTAGTCTCAGAGGCCGTGTAGGGATAAGTAACGTTTTATAATCGGTGAAAATACCAATACTTGTAGGTAAAATAAAACACCTAATTTGAGATACTTTAGCACCAACTCTAGATCGCGATCCGGAACCTCTGGTGGACATGCGAACCTCCAGTTTATTTCCATCAGCAAAACGAATAAAATCATAAATACTCGGGTTTTTTTTTAACTCTATGAAAATCGCTTTCTCCTCCACAATCCGGTACGTTGTCCGCATCTCAAGGGGATTCGCATCGCAAAACTTGTTCACGGTGAGCTTCGTACTTCCGTTAGAAAAGCCGAATCCAATCGTGTTTTTGAAAGGATTTTTTTTTTCATCCAACGGCGCAGACAGACAAAAGGCACCGACCACGCTGCACAGTGGGACGAATTCAAGAAAAGTGGCACATGGCCAATTGCGACGAAATTATTGAGTGTAGCATTTTGATGTCTTCTAGAATGTTTCTTAACTTTTTGAGTATTTTATTTCAGTGTTGAAAATGTTCGCTTAAGGCGGGTACTCGAGAAAAAAATAATTCACCAATTGTTGATATTTTCCATTCCATCTTAGTGTAATATTCAGCTTAACCTAACCTAACCTAACCTATGTCTAAATAAAACCAAAAAACTCAAGTCCAACCAATATTTACATGCTGTAAGTGTTTGTGAATGTATTGGTGCATATTATGTGATTGCTGCTATTGTTGTTGCAGTGTAATGTACAATAGTGATAGAACAAGTAAGACCTTAAAATCAAGGGCGATCGTGTAATGAGCTTGCATTTACCATACAAAAAGTGAATGATTCGCGAAATTCCAAACAAAAATTTAACTGAGCAAAATTGCTAAGACTGGACACGAATCTACACTCAAACGTTCGCTAATTGAAATTCAAAATACCCGCTAATCGTAGACAAATCCAGATAGAGCTGGAATTAGGGCCTAACAGCTTTTGTAAACAATGACTTCTCTTGATGATTTCTAGAAATTCAAGGCTCGCCCACGCAAATCAACATCCTAATCGGGTAGGGAAAGACTTCCCCTATCCGATGGTTAGGTTGGTCTGCATGGACGTGCCTTGAATTCCTAGAAATCATCGATAGAAGTCATTGTTTACAAAAGCTGTTACGCGCTAATTTCAGCTCTATCTAGAAATGTTGACCCACCTGTCAAAACTTGATCAGCCAACAACGGAATTTTTTACAGCCGGTCTGAAGAAAGATGCGATTTGTTGAAAAGTATGTTTCAGTTTGCGAACATTGAACAGCGTTGGCTCAAATAAATGAAGCAAATTTAAAAAAGGCATTATTTTGAATCGAGAGGATGGTTTTGGATGGTTCTTTTCGAGTTTTGTTACTGACATGCGGCTCATTCCATCTCAAGTGACCGAGCAATTCCATCGACCTTCTCCGATTTGAACCAAAATTGGTGGGTCTACTTATTTTAGACCAAAACTAAACAATCCAAAGTTTTATGCCAATCGGCTCTGGGGGCTACTCTCCCTGTTTGTCGATTTTTAATAAAAACCTATTTTCAATTTTCCACATGAGCTGTTCCATGCCAAATGACGAATTAATCTGACAAAATGGCGTATTTGATATTTCTTCAATAAATCATAGTACGAAAACGGCTCATCTAATCGACATGACGAATGAGATAAAGTTGTAGACAACTGAATTGCCTTTTCAGAAAAAAATACACGCTGAAAAAAATCATAAAGTTCCGTATTCTGTTTTAATTCAATAACAAAAACCGTCACTCTGTATTTCAAGATCCTGATTATTTAGAAAAGCAATGTCTCGGGCAAAGCTGATCAGGACGTCAAGGACTGCTTGGTGGTGAACAGATAGACTCAAAATCATCCCGCTAGGCAACGCTGGTGAGCATGCAAATATTCTGTACTGCTATATCACAAAATCCTGATTATTTGGTGGGTGATGTCTTCGGCAAAGTTGTTCAGAAAGTCAAGAGCTGCCGTGTGGTGTGCAATTCACAATTATCTCGCTAGATGGCATTAGTCAGTATTCTGTATTGTCTATTATTTTTCTCTAGATCCTGTAATCAAGATCTTGAGATACAGCAATACAGGATATTTCCATGCTCACTAGCTCCACCTATCGGGAAATTCCTAATGTATCTGTCCACCATCCAGCAGTCCTTGACCTCCTGATCAACTTTGCCAAAGACATCCATCCTTGGAAATAATCAGAATCTTGAGATACAGCAATACAGAATATTTGCATGCTCACGCAGCGCCACCAATTGGGGCATTCCTTGATCTCCTGTCCTGACTGAAAGACATTATGTCAACTACAACTTCATCTCGGACGTAATTTCGACCAGAAATGCCGTTTCCACGCCATATTTTTTTGAAAAATTTCAAGAATTCCATATGGCTAATTTTACAAAATCCAAAATGGCCGTGTTTTGGCAAGAATGTACACACTTGGAAATTATCACCGACTTCGGTAATTTTTACTGCAATCTGAACAGCTGAACTGTTCGTTAAAATTTATTCAATTCAATTCAATTGCCTTTCAGCTACTTTGAAACTAAATCTTCACTAAAATGACAAGATTTGATCATTTGAACAAGGTTGAACATGTTTCGAAATTATTTTCAAATTCAATAGCCTTTAAAATGAAGGTCAAAGTTTTACCGAACGTTCAGCTGTTCAGATTTCGGTAAAATTTACCGAACACGAAAACAAAATCTTAGTGTGTAAATCATTGCCCATAACAATTACACAAAGTTGCATACAGATTGTAGAACGTCGATTCAAAACTTTAATTTATTTTCACTGTTTTGCCTGGAACTGCTTCACACATTCTTTGAGCAAATCTACGTCTATTTGAGTTTCAGAAATTCATAAATCCATGATACTTAGCAGAATTGTTCGCTGGGAGCAACGAACCAAGTTTGTGCTGGAATTCGACCGTTTTGACTCTCGCCTAATTTTTCAAAATGGCGCATTCGATTTTTTTTTCAATAAATCGTAGCACGAAAACGGCTCACCTAATCGAAATGACGTCTGAGACAAAACTCTAGGAAACTGAATTGGCTTTTCCGAAAAAAGAAATCACGCTGAAAACAATCAAAAAGTTTTTGTCATAAAATTAAAAAAAAAACTTAAAAACTTAATAACACAAGAGTTAATTTTCAAGATTTTTAAACTTATGATTTCAAAGCTTACCAAAAATGCTGACTTATTTGCAATGGACACAACCCTAATAAATTTGTTATGGTTATTTTGCTTAACGACGTGTTTGGGGTATCATCCAAACCATTTGTGGAAAAGTTCGACTATTTGGGATATTGTTCGTTCATGGTATTTGTTTATTAGAGAAGGAACACATCAAAGTTGACCAAAATCGTAGACCATCATAATACAGCACAAATTTTTAACTTTTTTCCACAAATATTTTCCATTGTTTTCTTTCATCATCAATATTGCGTGACAAATGATATTCTACGTTCTCGGCCAATTTTTGATTCTAACTATGACTAAAAGGTCGAATGACAAAGGTCGAAAAAAGGTCGAATCATGAAAAAAAAACCGACAAAAGGTAATTAGGTTGATTAGCTAACAATTCTACCTTTTTTACCTTCGACCTTTTATTCTACTGGCTTTTTTAATGGTTCGACCTTTTGTCCTTTTAACCTGTCTGCTCAACCTTTTGATTCGACCTTTTATCCCTTCGACCTTTTGTCCTGATTTTTTTATGGTTCAACCTTTTGTCCCTTCGAACTTTTGTGCTATTATTTTTTTATGATTCGACCTTTTGTCCCTTCAACCTTTTATCCCTTCGACCTTTCGTACCTTCGACCTTTTCTACTATTTTTATGATTCGACCTTTTGTCCTACTGTTTTTTTATAATTCGACCTTTTCTCCCTTCAATCTTAGTGCTAGTATTTTTTTTGATTCGATCTTTTGTCCTTCCACCTTTTGTCCTACCGTTTTTTTTATAATTCGACCCTTTGTCGCTTCGATATTTTTTT